AAACTAACATCGGCTAATTTTGAGTTTTATGACTTAAATTATTTCAATTTACATTTATTTTAAGCCAGCTAAACAATTGCGCAAGTTTTTATAGCTAAACAAGTCGATTTTTGACTTTTCTGACGTTTTTTAAAAATTAGGAAATTTTTCAAGGCCCTTACGTGGATTTCCCCCCCCCCATTAATACACCAGTACCCTTTGCAGGATGTCCGCATAATCCCAATTGGCCAATGCCATGGCAGTCGATGCTCTATTTTATTGGCTCTCGATGGACCGACCATATCTTCGGATGCCAAATCTCATCAATTCATGCTGCCGAAGGGAGAGAAGTGGGTTTTTAAAGGGAGCGTGACACGTAAAGTGAGAAAAATACCAATTGTATTGCGTTTCTGGGCGCCAATAAGTAGAACTAATAAATTTAGAAAAATCTAGAAGGCTTTAGAAAGTATTTTAGTCGGCTTAAATACTGTATGTGCTTAATAGAGCGCCAGGGATGCGTTTTCATGGGATCATGGCATTTAAGTTACAAAAGAACCGATCAAATTATCATCCTGAAACGTCTGAAGTTGAATTAGAAAATAAATAAAATAGTCTGGAAAACGTTAGAAGTATTTTAGTCGATTACAAGGTATGAATATCATCTTTTGTGATACATAAGGGGTGGAGGTCCATTTTAAAAAGATAGTGACGCGTCAATTACCAAACTACCAATTGAATTGTTCTTCCGGAAGAGTAGAAACTTGATTAAGACTTTCAGAAAAGCTCAGAAAACTTTAAAAAGTATTTTAGTCCGCGTAACCTGTTTAGCGTCTAAAATCCGGACAAAATTTCATTAGTTTACGCGTTTTAAAGAAATAGTGACATCAAGTTGACATAAGAACCGATTAAACCAGGCTTCTGAAAGGCATTACGTATAGCCAAGGCCTTTAGAAAAACCTAGAAAACTTCAGAACATATTTTAGTCAACTAAAATATCGCTTTTTTTTTCAGGATGCTTCCCGATAACATGGCCTCCCTTCCGATTCGTGGATTCGCTTGTGGACGGTGTGAGGACGAGATACCGTACTGTAGCCCGCCAGTTGATGAGCTTGAGTGATACTGTAGTACGCGGAGTACGCGACCCTACGGAACTGTACATAGTAATAAATGGCATATGGATCTGGCCCGGATTGACTAAAATGTTTTAAGGAGATTTATTAATTCTTTTTAGTTTGTTAGACAGGGTTATCATTAGGCAGCTTAAATCTGAGCATGGTATTTTCATCGAATTAAAGCTCTGGCAGCAACCAAATTTCCAATGACTCGTGGGAAGCCTCGCGGTCGGGTGCGTCGCGGCAGGGAGAGAAAGATTGCACGCCCAGAGGAGAGACGAGACAGAACCCTGCGCCTCTGCCCGGTCCCCAAAATACCGTAACACGGTGTGTCCAGAGCCGCTTTAAGGCATAGAACCTCCAAAACTACAAATTGCTAGAATTTTTTAATCAGGGGCTTGGCTAAAATTTTTCAGGAGGGAAAGATAGAGAGAGAGAGTGAGAGAGAGAGACAGATAGAGATAGAGACAGGGAGAGACAGGCAGGCAGACAGACAGATGGAGAGGCAAAAGTACAAATTGGCCTCCTGAACACCTTGAAAACGGGTCTTGAACCCATCTAGCCTGCAAATGGAACCACAATTTCAAGCAGTTCTGAATGCCGTAAGAGACAAAGATACAGACAGAAAGACGAACTGACATACCGAGGAAACTCCCACACCCAATTGAGGGATAAATGTCTACATAGAGTTCCGGATCTGCCCCTTTCTATTGGCCGTTCTCTGCCCCATCAAATGTTGTCCGGGGCACCCCTCTGTCCATTTTTTCGTTTCTTTGAGCCGGGGGTGTTTCCCTTCAGTTCCTTATCCTGAATGGCCCTCCCAGATGTTTGGCATGGGTCCTAAGCCGGCAAAAAAATTACCATTTGCTCCAGCCAAAATAAGGCCATTTCTGGAATTTTTCAAAAGGGCCAAATTTCGGCAGTTAATAAAACCCACCGGTATTTTTTGAAATCCCATCGTTTAAAAATTTTGTGCGCTAGACACCCTGAATCCGGCTATTCCTCGCCAATCCAAAAGCTAACATACTTTGTAGTTTGTAGTTTAGAGAGTTTGATTGTTTGAAGGTACTATGTGCATGTCAGTGAATAAATCCCCCTAGTTGTTTTCGAAATCTATAACTCAAATCTTTGCTTTTGGGCACCAAGTAAATCCGGCTATTCCAAACCAAAAGCTAACATATTTCGTAGTTTGTATTTTAGCGAGTTTACTGAGTTCAAAATGTTATATGTGCCCCAGTTAAAATAAACCACTGGTATTTTTTTTGCTATATATCTCAAAAGTTCTTTTACAGCCACGGAAACTATGTATTTCTCGCCAAAACTAAAATACTTAGTGGTTTGTATTTTCGCAAGTCTAATACTTCCAAAATGCTGTATGCATGGCAGTTAATAAAAACCACTGGTTTTTTTCGAGATACATCGCTTAAACATTTTGTTTACCAGAACCACGATACAGATCCATTCCTAAACCCGAAAACTAAAATATTTCATAGTCTGTGGTTTTAGTACCTTCCTTGGCGCTAAAACATTGTTCTCATTTCAGTTTAGACCTGAACACAGGCATTTGCAAAAAATTCACTTCCTAAAGGTGATTACAGTATGCCGAGCAGCTGCATCTCGAGTATCCGCTCGTACTTTTTGATAAAATATCTAATTTTACGATGCGTGGGCAGTTTCAAAAACTATAGTAGACGATTGGATACCATTCAGATTATGACTTGCCAGGTGGAAAACTACAAAAACTAGCTCGCGCCCTTGAAAGAAGGCGAAATCAGGGGCAGACGCGGGGGCTGCACGTCGCCGTGGGTGGGCCAGGTCAGGTGGTCTCTACTCTTTTATTTCAGGGGCTTAGGAACTATTTGATAATTGTCATTATTGACATGCAATAGGGTGGTTAAAATCATCAAAAAATGCTTTTCCGTAGATTTTGACGACCCGTTGAATATCGATTTTCTTGGGGCGTTTAACCAAGATATTTCGGGGTGAACAAAGAGCTCTGAATTTCTTGGTTTTAAGATGCTCTGGGGGTCAGCTCCCAAAATTAAGCGGCAAAATTCACCCTAGAAAGTTTTGGGATATCGTCCAATTGTAAAACTAAAAGATCTTGGAGAGTCGAATAAGGTCTGAATTTCCTGCGTGTATAATTCTTTTGGTGCCAGTTCCAATAAATAAGTGTTTAGTTGAATACAGCCACAAAACTTATTTTATAAAAATTACATTCTATCTCGATTTTTTAAAAATGGCCCCATTTTCAAAACTAAAGGATCTTCAGTTACAATTATTTGAGGGGCATTTCGCTGACATAAACGGTCAAATCGACGCTAGAAAGTTGAATTTTTTCAAAAAAGTTTTTCGAAATTGCTCTGTCATCTGACCGGCACCAAGTCCATGTCAACCCTCCCCGGTATTCTGAATTATTTTCCGGCTGTGGCCGTCTTTAGAGCTCGGTGAACGACTACAAAATGGCTTCCCCCTGCCCTCCCAACTCGTATCATCCTCGGCCAAAGCAAAGCAGAATTTGTTTTGGTCTTCACGCTCGCTTCTCTCTCTTTCTCTCTCTCTCTCTCTCTCTCTGTCTCTTTTTCTCTCCCTCTGTCTCATGAGGGGCTTAAAAAGTGGCCCATGAGCGGCCACCCCAGAATTTACGGCTTTTTTTCGAAACGATGAACGGCTTGCTGTCTGCCCCGTCAGAATACCCGGAAATTCCGTCTGATTGCTAATTAAGTCATTGGTAATATTGATAATTTAAATTCGGGGATCATTTAGGGTAAACTCTCTGGTGACGTATGCTTTGAAGGTGAAACAATTGTTTAGATGCCATTCAAAGTTTAAATCACCCGAATCTTGCTGATTTTTGGCCGATTCTCCTAAAACTAAAATATCGTATTTAATCAGTTTTTCAATTGTTATGGTTTCGAATAGACGTGTTGCTCCCCAATTAGATAGATTTAGTGGTCTTTTTCCAAAAACTAGAATATCTGCCAAAATGACTTTTGCGGATTTTACCAAATTTTTCAAGTTCTGTAACGGCCAGTTTATGGTTTATCTGGTCGGGCATCTCGTAGCGGATACGAATCCGAAATGGCTGAAGATCCCGAATGGATATATTTGGTCCGTTTTGACCACTTGCGCTTGGAACTAACAACTTGTAGAATCTCTGATTTCATCAGCTTCCCAAGTTTCCAAGATTTTAACAGACGTATTGCCGCCCAATTTAAAAAATTCATTGGTTTTCTTCCACGAAGTTCTCAGGCGTAATTGAAATACGTGCGAAATAGATCGTCAAACGCTACAAAGTCTCCACGCCAAAAAAAAAATAATATATTCCCAGGAATTACTTTTTGGGGATTTTATTAAATTTCTATAGTAGGCAATGGTCAGCTTGATGTTTGGTGCGGTCCGGAATCCGGTAGCCGGGCCGGAACCGGGAAGACCGGTTAAATGAATAACGTTGAACCTACCGCCCGGCGGGCCATCGGATAGATTGGTGTTCTTCGGGTGGATGGATTTTGGAACAGATATTCTGCTCTCTCTCTCTCTCTCTCTCTCTCTCTCTCTCTCTCCTCTCTCTCTCTCTCTCTCTCTCTCTCTCCAGCCATTCCCATAATCGTCTCTTTGAAGGGGGCCCTCATTTCGGGGGTCCCGAACCCCCACGTCTTCCACAACTTTTTTGATCCCCCCTAGGACCTCGAAAATTTATTGGCTGGATGCCAGCTAAGGCACCAGTTTTCAGGGTTTTTATTTTTACGAAAAAGTGCCGTATTTTAGTCCCATCCAATCGCCGTCACTCCCACTTTAAAACGCTATGCCCTCGGCTAGTTTCGAATGTCACGGCAAAATTTAGCCCCACCACCCCCCAGATAACTCGATTTACGGTAGCCTGGCTATCTGGATAATCCCGTATTCAGGAAGGCACAAAAAGGACTGAAATCCTAGCCCTCACTTTCCACCCCTCCTCCCCCCCCCCCCTCCAGTATACGCTATTCCAGCACCAGGACGTTTCTATTTTTGGGATTCCAATCTGCCTCTCTTTTCTTCGTGTATTGAAAGTTTTCTAAACTAAGTAACAGGGCTATTTCAGAGGGCTGTCCCCTCTGCTTTGCCAGTTCAGTAACTTGACTCCCAGGGCTATTATGACAATTTGTCAATTCTGTCTGTCAGAGGAGGACCCGCCCTCGAACTAACACCGAGGCCAACTTATTTAGAAACTCCGAGTACAATGCACCGCATTCCGAGACTTACTACTTAACCTTGCCGAAAAGTCGATTCCGAGTGCTCTTTTCAAATTTTTCACTTTCAAACCTCCAAAAGCCGCTTTTTGACATGCAGCTGATCCAAAGATTAAAAAAACTGAAACTATTATTGAAATCACGATATTTTAGTTTTTCAGAGTTCCTGTTGTTTTGCTGGGTTCCCCCTGAACGCAAAAGCCAATTCACGAGTTATCTTTGCAACTTTTTAACATTTATAACCTGAAAAAGCTTGCTATTTGGGGCATTTGTAGACGAGTCACCAAAAAATTTTAAATCGCGTTGAAATTCAGATATTTTAGTTTTTCAATGCCTTCATGTTTCTAGCTGCTCCCCCTCCAGGCGAAGAGTCCAGTCCGACTCCCTCCTCACCACTCGTTCCCATTTTTTGCCGTCCATCTCCCCCAATTCCTCTCGGCTATAAACAAAAACGCATGGAAATTGGCGGCGGCAGTTGTTTTTCGTGTTTCCCTCCCATCTCTACAAATGCTCCTCCGGCTGCCATACTCTGGTTTGATGATGAAGATGAAGGGAAAAGAACTATGATGCCCTACAAATTCGGACTTCCGTGACTCACGGCCCTCGATCTTTCATCCTGGCACCTACCGCACAACAACATACTAACATCTCTTGACAAAGTTGATGGAAGCTTGACGCTGAGGAATTTCTAAGCCTTATAAGCCAGCTAGCCAAATTATATGGTTTTTCGGTAATTTTTTGATAGCTAGCGCGAAAAATCGGGCTTTGAATTC